GGAAGCGCCGGCGCCCGAGGAAGCTTGCTTCTCCCCTGGTACACCTAGGAGCCCTTTTGGACGCCCCAGGATCCTAGGAGGAGGAGGAGCAAGAAGGAGAGGAGGAGGATGAAAGCGAGGAAGGGGAAGAGGAGCAAGAGGAGGAGGAGGCGGCTTTCTCATTTGAGCGGTGCTGGGCACAGAGCCCAGGGCCTCGGAATGCTAAGCACGCATTTTGTCCCTGTGCTGTGCCCCCCCCCCAATATGGACTATATTAAATCCCATTTGAAATTGGGGATCTAGGGGCAGAGAAAATGGCCACCTAAGGTCACACAGCTGGTGCACCGCGCCTTCTGGTTCACATGGCAAAGAGGATGCTTATAATCCATCACCAACATGTCTGCGACTAGTGCCTCTTACAGGTGTCGCTTTGGAGGCCAGCACAGTCTACGGGCTGGTTGCAGCTGTGAACCAAAGTCACCCAAATCCTGACTTATTGGGGCTGGGGGAGACAGAAATGCATTGACAAACATAATTCAGAATACAAAGAATCTTCAAGCCCAGACCACTCTTGTAATCCCAGCACTCAGGAGGCTGAGGCAGGAGGATCATTGTGAGTTTGAGGCCAGCCTGGACTTACAGAGTGACTCCACAGCCAGCCTGAACTGCATAGTGAGACCCTGACTCAATAACAAAACAAAATAGTTGGGGATATAGCTCAGCAGCACAGGCACCTACCTGTCTGACAAGCACAATGTCCTGAATTCGATTCCTGATACCCACCCAAAACAAACAAATCATGTTAAATGGGAAAAGAGGGGATGGAGATATGGCTCAGTGACAGAGTTCTCTCACCTGGCATACATGAAGCCTTGAGTTCCAGTACCACAAAAGTAAGTACAAATAAATAAAATTTAAAAACTTTTAAGGCCAGGTATCATCATGGAGCATGCAGACAATTGGGAGGCTGACGCAGGAGGATTATCACCATTTTGAGGCCAGCCTAAACTTCATAGTGAGACCCTCTCTCGAAAAACAACAACAAAAAACAAAAAAAATTTTTTTGAGACAGGGTCTCGCTCTGTAATTCAGGCTGACCTCGAACTTACAGCAATCCTCCTGCCTCAACCTCCCGAGTGCTGGGGTTATTTGTACCACCACACTGAGCAAAAGCAAATTTTTTAAGTAAAAATAAATAAATAGTCCTAGGCTAGGGGTTTAGCTCAGTGGCACAACTGCCTGCCTGGCAAGTGGAAGGTTGTGAGTTCAATCCCCAGTACCAATAAATAAATAATCTTAGCACTTCGAAGAACAGGCTGAAGGATTGCCAGTTCAAGTGCAGCCTGGATGCTTTAGTGACAGAGTAAGACCCTGTCCCAAAAAACAAAACACGGGCCAGTAAAATGGCTTGCTGGCACAGTGCCTGCCTGGCAAATTCAAGGTTCTGAGTTTGGTTCGCACTACTGAAACAAAACAAAACAAACAAACATAAACACAGAGAACTGCGATATAGCTCAGTGTGAAGGCCCTGGGTTCAATTCCCAGTACCACAATAAACAAATGGGGGTCAGAAACATGATTGGTGGGGGCATCTAGGATGAGCTGATGAGATAATGCATGTAATGAAGTGAGACAAAACTGGTTTTGGGGTTTTTTTGTTTTTTGTCTTTTGGTGGCACTAAGGATTGAACCAGGGAGTCAGAGTACTGGATTGCAATCTGAGCACTCTCCTTTTTGTAGTGAGAATTGAACCCAGGGCCTTTAGACTGAGTTACATGCCCTTTTAAAATTAAAAAAATAAAACATGAGACAGGATCTTGCTAAGTCACTAAGTTGACCAGGCTGGGCTCAAATTGTGATCCTCCTGCCTCAGCCTCCAGAGTACTGGGATTATGTATAGGCATCTGTTCCTGAAGTACAGACTCTCTTGAAGGGCTGGTGACACAGCAGCAATCAAACCAGAGAAGGCTTAAAGCAAGTGTAAAACTATCTGTTCAGCATCAGCAGGCGAGGCCTGCAAGCCACGCACCTGTGCGTGACCCTCTGGGCTCTTGGGGTTGCCTCTTCTGCCTTCCTCCACCTCACTCTACTGCCCCAGCCACCTCAGCAGCCCAGAGCCTCAGTACCATGAGTTTCTTTTGGTTTTAGCTTTTTGAGAAAGGATCTCGCTCTGCAGATAGGCAGTCCTCAAACTTGTGATCTGCCTGCTTCAGCCTCTCAGAGTGCTGGGCCTATAGGTGTGCAGCACCACATTTGGCCCCTTTAGTTTTTTAAAAATTTAAATACTATTTATTGGTGAGATGTAGCTGTGCATGCCTGTAATCCCAGTACTCTGGGAGACTGAGCAGGAAGATGGCAATTTGAGCTGAGCCAGGTTGACTTAGTGACTTAGCCATGCCTCTCTCAAAATTTATTTTTTAATTTTTTTTTTTATCGTTACCAGGGGTCAAACTCACGATCATCTGCTTGCAAGGCAGGTGCTTATGCCGCTGAACTAAATCCCCAGCCCCATCCCCTCTCAAAATTAAAAAAAAAAAAATAAAAAAGAGCTGAGAGCGTAGCTCAGCATGAAGTCCTTGGGTTCAATCCCAAGTTCCAGGAAAGAAAACAAACATTCATGGGGACTGAATGCAACAGGGCTTTACCAGTGAACTTCACCTCCAGGTATCCAGTTCTCTCTCTCTCTCTCTCTCTCTCTCTTTCCCTTTCTCTCTTTTTGTACCAGGAATCAAACTCAGCTGAGCTATATGCCCGGCCTTTTTTTCCCTGTTTTTTGAGACAGGGTCTTGCTATATAGTTGAGCCTGGTTTTGAACTCACAGTGATCTTCTTGCCTCAGCCTCCCCATTGGTGGGAAGCTTTACCACACCTGGCCTTTAAACTTTACTTTGAAACTAAATCTCACTAAATTCCCCATGCTGGTCTTGAGTGGTTAGTCCTTCCTGCCTCAGCCTCCCATGTCACTGAAGTATGTGGCAGCAGGTGAGCATAATTGTCTTCTGATTTTTTTTTTTTTTTTTGGTACTGGGGATTGAACTCATTACCTTGTGCTTGCTAGGCAGGCACTTATGTCACTGAGCTAAATCCCTATCCTCTGAACATTCTCTATCCCCAGTTTGTTGCATCCATTGATGTGGAATCCACAGATACAGAATGGCAACTGACTATACAATTTGTTTCTTTCTTTTATCTTTTTGTCTTTTTGAGACAGAGTCTCTCTCTGCAGTTCAAGCTGGCCTTGAGCTCATTTTGTAGTCCAGGCTGGTCTTGAACTTGCAACGATCCTCCTGCCTCATCCTCCTGAGTACTGGCATTACAGGCATGTACCACCATGCCTAGCTTCTACACAATTTGTTTCATATGACACAAGAAAATAGTTATAAAATCATGCTCATGACTTTGGCACATGACTCTAATCTCAGCTACTTAGGAGGCTGAGGCAGGAAGATTCCAAATTTGAGGTCAGAAGGTAATTTATTTTTTATTTATTTATTTTTTTGGTGCCAGCGATCAAACTCATGACCTCACGCTTGCCAGGCAAGTGCTTAAGCCACTGAACTAAATCCCCAGCCCTAGAAGATAATTTAATAAGGCTCTGTTTCAAGATAAAAGTATAAAAACGCCTGGGAATGAAACTCAGTGGTAGAGTACTCCATGGTTCAAACCGCACCAACCCTTCCCCCCAAGGAAAGCACAGCATGCAGGCATTCATTCAACAAGTTATTTTCAGCACAGGGGGTTGAACCCAGGACTTTCATGGTGAGCTACATCCCCAATCCCTTATGTTTTTTTTTGTACCAGGAATGGAATTCAGGACCTTGCACTAGTCCTCTCTATGTTTGATTTTGGGACATGGTCTCACTAGGCTGTTAAATTACCCAGGCTGATCTTAAATTTTTTATCCTCCTGCCTCAGCCTCCCAGAATGCTGGGATTATACCTGTGTGTCATCAGGTCCCACTTCATTCAACATCTGTCCCTGTATGTGTGTACACCTATGTGTTCTTGGGCTTACAAATGCTAAGCAAGTAACCCATCTTTTTGTGAGTTTTGTGCTAGTTAATGAGTGGTTCCCTTGGGGCTTCTGTGAGGAGATGGCATGTGAATAAACAGTGCTGTGGTGACCTGGGCAGGTGTTGTACAATTCCAAGATGACTAATTGTATGTGTAGGCCATCTCTGAAAAGCCAAGAACAGTGGCCATATAAAGAGCAAGGAGTTATCAGGTCCTCTCAGTATCCATGTTTATTTTATTTTATTTTATTTTTTGATACTGGCGATTGAACTCATGACCTTGCGCTTCCCAAGAAGGCGCTTGTGCCCTTTAGCTAAACCCCCGGCTCCACTGTCCATGTTTTAAATCACAAAATAAAACCACTGGCTATTCAGGGAATATCAGCACCAGCTGGGAACGGTTCAGGGTGCCCAACGCTGTTGGCAGCCACAGAGGTCTGGGTGCCAGTCAACCCCTGGAAACTGTGGCTCAGCCATAAGTGCTGTCTGGCTGATACCTTCCCTACCCTGTAATGCTCCAGATGCACGTGTCACAAGGCCTTTGCACAGGCAGCACGCTCTGCCTGGACTCCAGCCCTCCATGTCAGGTCTGCATTTCACGTCTTTGATCCTGAGGGCAAGGATGCGGTCTGCCTAGCTCACCACCCTGACTTTCCCTGACATCTGCTCAGCACATTTCCTCATAGTGTAGATTGGGAGAACTGAACAAAGCATTGGATGGACTGCAATATGTAAGTCGCTAAACACAACTTTGTTTTCCTGGCACAGGGAAGCTGTTAGATCAAGGTTGTTTCCAGCACTTAGTGCCTAGTATGTGGCAGGTACTTTTGAGTGGAGGCACAACTGCCCGAGCAAAGAAGGCGAGGCCAGAGAAGGAGAACCTCGTCTCCTTACTCGCAAAGGCGAAACACCAATCGAGGTAGAAGGAACATGCTTCAGTAACATTCCTAAGACCAGATCGGCTTGCTCCCTCCGCCTGCGAGCAGCTGCACGGCCCCTTTAAGGTTCCCGGAAACGAGCCGTAGGGACCGGAAGTGACCTTCTATATTTCCCCTCCTCACGTGGTGCGGGCGGGAAGTGACGCACGCAGCCCGGGAGCTGTGGACTCGGAGGCCGACGGAGCCGGAGTCGCCAACGCCGCGGGGTCTCCGGGACAGGTGACCGGGGGAGGGGGCCAGGAGCGCGCCCGGAGAGGGCGGGGCCTGGAGCCCCACGTGAGGGGAGCGGAGCACGCGCGGGCGGGGTGGCCAGCAGCTGGCGGGGGCGGGGTCAGAGTACTCTGTGGGGGGCGGGGTCAGGACGCCCACATGGGAAGCGGGAGAGGCGCTGGCGGGGCGGGACGTGAGTGTATGGGCAGGCCTGGGGCGGGCCTACCGCGGGCGGGCTTTCGGCGCCGGCGGGCAGCTGAGGGTAGGGCCGCGAAGTTGTGCTCCTGCTGGGGGCGGGGCCTGGGTGGTACCCGGCGAGCAAGGGGCGGGGCCTAGATGCTGGCGATCGGCTGTGGGGGCGGAGCCTGAAAGTTTTCCCTGTCTGAAAGTGAGTCTGGATCGGCTGGCAAATTAGGGGCGGGGCCAGAGGCCTTGCCAAGACGAGGGCGAGGCTTAAATGGCGCGAGGAGGGGGCGGGACTAGGTCGACGGCGGCGAATGACATGGAGGTGGGGCTAGAAAGTTTTGCCCGAAGCAGGACCGTTGGCGGGCAAGCTGGGGGTGGAGCCAGGGCCTCGGGCGGAGGAGCCGGAGGCGGGGCCAGGTGTGACGCACGAGGCGGGGACGCCTGCTTAGGGGTGTGGCCAGGGGTTGGCTGGCCTGGTCAGGGCGGGGCCAGGCCGCTGGTTTGGGGAGCCCGGAGGCGGGGCTGGAATAACAAACGGCGTTGGGCTGGCTCAAGCTACTGACGGGGAGCGTGGGGGCGGAATCAGGGGGGTGGATGGGAAGTTGGAGACCTGGCCAGTTAAGTGAAGCGCGAGTCCGGCGGGAACAAAGTTTTGTCCAAACCAGGGGATGGGCTTGAGCGACCTCTGAAAGTCGGGGGCGAGGCCGTGTGGCGTTCCCAAGTTGCAGGAAGCTGAAATTTTCCCTTGGAAAGCGGAGGCCAGGCCCAGGAAGCTCTGCCAGCGCTGCAATGGTGGTTCACCTGCGAGGTTGACCCGGGTCTAGAAAGCGTTCCCAGTTTTGGGCGTGGTCTGAGACCACCCTAAGGATGGTGGGGCCGGTCTAGGGCATCCTCAGGGAAGTCGTGATCTTTGAGAGCTGGAGCTGGAGCTTTTGTGGGCTGCGGGTTAGGGGAAGTTTCAGAAGCCTACTTGGTGGAGCTGAAATGTTCACTGGGATGTGAATGGCAGCAGAATGGGCACAGAAGGGCAGGTTGGGAGGAGGTGATGCAGGTGCAGCTCTCGAGATGGGGGTCTGGGCTTGAATTCCCATCATGGACTGTGGCCCTAGGCTGGAATCTTAGCTTGGTAGGAGATTGTTGGCTATTTCCTTAAGCCAGTGGTGCTGGCTGGAAGATTCCCTAGGTGGGTCTCACTAAAAGGTTTAAGTGAGTCCAAAAACCAAGAGGCAGTCTGTTTTTACAGTAAAGGGGTGTATGTGGCTATCCTTGAAGAGCAATGGGAAAATTTTCTTGGGCTGCAGCTGGTTTTTGGTGCCTGTTTGTGAGGCCCCCTAACCCCGTGTTTTGAGGGGATGAGGTAGACCACAAGTCCTTTTGCCCTTATTTCTGCTGTTTCTTCTATCTTCAGGAATCCCACAGTCCTGTATCCAGATTGTGTCAGGGAGGTTGCTGGGACCCTGGTCATGGCCAGAGAAATGGTGAGACCAAAAATGGACACTCAGAATCTGAGTTTGGGGAAGGGGCTTGAGAGAATGGGGTCCATGCAGCAGACCCTGAGAGCCTCGGCTGGAATGGCTCTGGATGGGTAGAGGTTTTTATTTCCGTCCCTCAATTGCCTCTTCATTTTAGGCAGCCACACTGGATTTGAAATCAAAGGAAGAGAAAGATGCCGAACTGGACAAGAGGATCGAGGCCCTCCGGAGGAAGAATGAGGCCCTCATCCGGCGCTATCAGGTGCCCTAGCCCTGCCCGGGGAGACCCCATCCCCTCTCCTCTCTGCAGTGAGTTTTTCTCACTTCTCCCTTGCTTACAACTTTTTCATGGCTCCCCATTACTCTCAGGATAAAAGTCAGAGGCCTTGGCCTTTATTCCTTCCTTCATCCAGTCTTTTAGCCATTTATCACATTTATAGAGCTTTTCACTGTATCAAGCCCTGAGTTGCATGATACTGAGGACACAGCCATGGCTAAGATGGCTGCAGGCCTGGCCTTCCAGATTCCCACTCTAGTTAGGGGGACAGCCTTGTCCTTAGTTCCACAGCTCAGCCTGGACAGGGATGACATGGAGGAACCCAGGGGACTGAGGTGATGGGGACCTAGCTCAGGCATGTGAGAGAGGGCTTCCTGGAGGAGGGGACTCAGAGGCCTGAGGGGTGAGCAGACAGCGCCCAGTTGAAAAGGAGAGGAGCTGTGCTTGAGGCAGAGGGAACAGGCTGGACAATATCTGCATACAGGAGAGGGCTTGGAGCTTAAGCTGGGGACAGGGGCCTGAATGCTGCTGGGCTGAAAGTTTAGAGTCTCCTAAGAAAACTTAGGACCCATAGAGGGCTGAGGGGAGGAGTGGGACCAGGCCAGATAGTTTTTTAGGGAGACTTCTCTGGCCCTGGTGTGCTAGAGGATGGGAGGAGGTAATACTGCAGTCCAGAGACCAACAAGGACACTGGGGCAGGGAGCTAGGGAGGAAGAGGTTTTGGCTTAGGGCTGGGCTGCTAAGGTCTCAGCGACAGAGAGCAGTGGGGCATGAGAGAGGAAAGGAGGAGCCGGGACCAGGCCCTCAAGCAAGTGGTGGGGCTTCCCCTGGGATGGATCTAGGAGGAGCAGTGGGTTTCATTTACTCATTCTTCATGTGTTCATTTGTTTAAAAAGAAACAAACCAGTTTTGTGTGTGCCAGGCAGTGTTTTAAGGGTGGGGTTTCATATCAATGAACACACAGATGGATGTTCCTGTTCTCTAGTGAATGTGAGATGAGAACAGAGGATGATGGGGGAGCTGGTGTCTGTAGGGGTCAGGGAACACAGAACTGAGGAGTTGAGGGTGAAGGGACTCCAACAGAGTTTCTGGTTGAGGGAACAGCTGGTGCAGAGGCCCTGAGGCAAGTCTGAGCCCAGTATGTCCTGAGACCAGCAGGAAGTTAGGGGGAGTGAAGAGGAGAGGCAGAGGCGTGTTTGGGTGGTGAAGGATGGGTATTCTCTGGTATGGCTGTAGGGAGGCCCTTGTCTCTTCTTCAGAGATGGGTGTGGGGAAACAGTGTAGGAACAGTGTGATGGGGTTTCATGAATGATACTGAAATGAGCAGCTTCTTATGTCAAGCTTTGGAGACAGGCCTGCACTGGGGCCAGACAGAGGAAAAATTTAGGGGGCTGTGAGAGTCCAGCTGATAGACAAATCTCTCACACTCCTGCACCCGGGTGGTTGCTCCTAGGAGATCGAGGAGGACCGTAAAAAAGCCGAACTGGAAGGGGTAGCGGTGACAGCGCCCCGGAAGGGCCGCATGGTGGAGAAGGAGAATGTGGCGGTTGAGGTGCTAAGTTCATCACTGGGGTAGAGGACTCCCTGAGGGGAGGGGGTCTGGGACCCAGGAGCCTTCTGGCTGCCCCAGGCTTCCTGCCTGGTCACTATCTTTCTTTATGCTCCTGCTTCTAGGAGAAGAGCCTGGGACCCTCCCGGAGGTCTCTTGGGACCCCTCGGACCCCAGGGGCCAGCAGAGGGGGGCGGACCGCCCCGCAGCAGGGAGGCCGGGCAGGTGTGGGCCGGGCACCTCGAAGCTGGGAGGACAGTCCTGGGGAGCATCCTCGAGGAGGAGCTGGGGGCCGGGGCCGGAGGGGCCGGGGCCGAGGGTCCCCTCATCTCTCAGGAGCCGGTGACAGCTCAGCCTCCGACCGAAAATCCAAGGTAGGAGCCAGGCAGGTGTGCTGCTGTTTTGGAAGGTCCTGTTTCCTCTTCCTCATGCTCAAGTGGGCTGTTTCCTGGCCTCCACCTAGGGTGCTGTCCGCAGACCTCCGTCTTCCCCATCCTGACTGGTATGGCGTGTCTGTCCTTCCTCTCTGCTTGCCTCTTTTGTTCTCTGACCATGCCGACCTGTCTTCTCTCCCCATCTGTCCTCTTGCTCATGCTGTTGGTCTGTCGGATGCACTCTGTGCTGAGCTCTGCACTGGGTCCCTTGTGTCTGTGTTGTCTCAGCACCCAGGTTTATGGAAAGCTGCTGTGGCTGCTCTCCACCCCTGGCCAGCAGGTGGCTGGCAGAGGCTGTCCAAAAGGAGTCGCCCTCTGCCTGCAGGGACTTGGATCTGGATGGTTCTCTAATTAGCTGCGGGTGGGCAGCTGACCATCCTGTGGGTTCCAGGGCTTACTCTAGCAGTGCTGATTAGACTCTGTGCAGAGTGAGCACAGTAAATGGCACACTAAGCTGCTCTGACCAAAAGGCCCCTGAGTGCATGGTCTACAAAGGGGAAATTTCTCTCTCTTGTCTGCTGAGATAACAGTGAGAAGAGTGGGGCAGGTAGATGGCCTTGCTCCATGAGGCCACCCTGGGTTGTTTTTTTTTTTTTTTTTTTTTTGTCTTTTTGAGACAGGTCTTGCTATGCAGTTCAGGCTGGCTTTGAGCTCACTTTGTAGCTTAGGCTGGTCTCGAACTCGCAACGATCCTCCTGCCTCAGCCTCCTGAGTGCTGGCATTACAGGCATAAGCCACCACTCCCGGCTCAAAGGGCCTGGGTTGCTTGATGGGCACCAGCTATGTTACTGCAAGGTAAAGATGGGCCACCGAAAAAGGTTAGGGCCAGTACACAGAAGAGAGCAGTCTGCATTCGTTCCCACATTCTGTGAATGCTGAGATACCTGGCTGTGCCTGCCTATATGGGACACTGGGAGTGAAAACATGTGTTCTCTCCAGCTAGGTGCTGTTCTAAAATTTTGTTACCACGGAGAGGGAAGAATGTGGGGTTCTAGTTACCTGCCAAGTTACTACAGTTACTACCATCATTGTAACTATGGCAACCAGGTCTCAAGGTCCCAGCACCCTGACGCTGAACTATCAGCTTTGGCATTACCACAGTGAAGGGACACAGCAGAATCAGCAAGGGGCCAACACGGGACCAGGATCAAGCTTCTCAGACTCCTGGTATGTAGTTAGTCCTCCAGCTGTGAGCTGTGACCACATATATCTACCAGGATGCCCAGGTGATGTTAAGTGCCAGGGGTTTTTACTGGAGGCTGGGCCCCTCCATCGGACACACCACACTGGAGAAAAGTGTCTACTATTGCCACCGTCAGGGCACAGGACTCTGCTCCTCGGTAATGCTGTACTGAGAACATGCTGACAGCAATGAGCGATGCCAACCAGTTGCCCGCCGACTTGACACCTGCTTGTTTAAGAATGGTTATGCGTTCTGTTTCATCGTGGTTCCCCCCCGCCCCCCCATTTTGGAACCCTTACTAGTATCTTTTATTTTTCCTTTTTTTTAAGGTTAGATTTTATTGGTCCATTTTAGATATACATAATGATCACATTCATCTTAGAAAATGTATACCTGGTGTTCACAGTACAACTTTTTCCCCCGTTCTCCTCCCTTCAAGTCCTCCGCCCTCCCCATTTACAAAGCTTCATTTTCATGTTTTTCTCCTCCTGCGTCACCATTTTCTCCATGGCTGGTAAAGCATTTCTTTTTTTTTTTTTTTTTCTTTTGGTCTTTTTCTTTTTTATTGGTACCGGGGATCGAACTCACGACTGCCTGCTTGCAAGGCAGGCGCTTATGCCACTGAGCTAAATCCCCAGCCCCTGGTAGAGCATTTCTTCCCAGCCCTGGGGGATGTGTCTTTGTCCCCCCAGGAGTGGGAGGAGCGGCGGAGACAGAACATTGAGAAGATGAACGAGGAGATGGAGAAGATCGCAGAGTATGAGCGCAACCAGCGGGTCAGTGCTGCCAGAGACGTGCAGAGGGCATAGCCTGCTAGGGGGCCCTGGGACCCTCTAAACCCTGCCTTGTGCCCACAGGAAGGGGTGCTGGAACCTAACCCCGTTCGAAACTTTCTGGATGACCCCCGGCGACGCAGTGGACCCTTGGAGGAGCCTGAGCGGGACCGCCGGGAGGGCAGTCGCCGGCATGGGCGCAACTGGGGGGGCCCTGACTTTGAGCGAGTGCGCTGTGGCCTCGAACACGAGCGGCAGGTGGGTGCTGGCAGTTGGGTCCCTGATCCATCTTTCATGGACTAAGTACAGACGGCTAGGCTCCCTCAGGACCAGGATGGACCAGTTCTTCATTTCATGCTGGGATCAGTGTTCTCATTATTACTGTGGTACTGGGTATTGGACCTAGAGTCTTCATGCAGGACCAGGATCTGGCTAAATTGCCCAGGATAGGCTTGATTTTGAATCTTTGTGCCTCAGCCTCCTAAGCAACTGGAATTACAGGCATATGTCACCAAGCCTGGTTTTATTTTATTTTTGTTTTGTGGTTGACCACTGGGGCACAACCCCAGACCCCAGGTGCTATAGATAAGAGTTGTGAAGCAAACCCTGTCCTCGTGAAGTTTCTTTTGGGAGCTAGGTTGTTGAAAACCTAGTAAAAGGCCAGGTGACCCAAGTGTTAACACAAGAGCCCAGGAAGATGAGCAAGGGATGCAGCTGAAGAAAGAGAGGGAGAGGCTGTCTGAGCCCAGCTGCTTGTTACCACCTCCCAGTGTGAGCTTGAGCCAGTAGCCCCACTACATTTTGGGGGCAGAGCTGTCACAGAACAGGGCTCTGACTGTCTGTGGCTGGGGCAGGGCCGCCGTGCCAGCCCGGCTGGTACTGGTGACATGACGATGTCCATGACGGGTCGGGAGCGGTCAGAGTACCTGCGCTGGAAGCAGGAGAGGGAGAAGATTGACCAGGAGCGGCTGCAGCGGCACCGAAAGCCCACCGGCCAGTGGCGACGCGAGTGGGATGCAGAGAAGACTGAGGGCATGTGAGTCCCCCTGTTGCCTTGCTCCCTTGGCCTACACCTGCTGCTCTTCTCACCCTGCGTGTCAGCGCTCACTGGCTAGTGTGCCAGGACCTGGTGGCACATGAGTGCCTTTATCTGCCACAAACCTAATCCAGGCTGGACACCGGGCTGTGAGCCCACCAGCTTGGCTCCTTGATGCGGGTAGCGCTTAGGTACACTTAGGAATTCTCTGTTCTTCAGCCACAGTGTCAGTCCAGGTATAGGTATGTGGGCCGTGGTGTGACTGTAAGTCACCCATCATGACAGACTGCCACCAGACATAGGCGAAATCTTTTTCTTTACCAGAGCCAAATGGAAAAGGGCTACACATACGTCAGGTATGCTGGCACAGGCCTGTGATCCCAGCACTCTGCACGCTGAGACAGGAGGATTACCATGAGTTTGATGCTAGCCTGGGCTGTGAGGTCTGCAGTGCTCTGCCTGGCTGTGGAGCTTGGTTCTCACCCTGACACCAATGATGCTTTTGCCTTAGGTCTGAACGCTAATGTGTGTTCATTGTCATGGGTTCAGGTCAAGGGGCAGCTGCTCAGTGAGACCCTTTCCTGGTGCCACCAGATGCATGGTGTGCTAGCAGATCCCACCTATTCCTCAGCCGGGTGGGAAGCAGGCTCTGCCCACTCCTGTTTCATTCAGGACGGTCCCATAACGCAGGACTGGGATAGGTCACCAGCAGTAATGAGGCCTTCACAGCCTCCCTGTGTGTCCCTTTGACCTGGAACCCAGATCCCTGAGCTTCTCTGCAGGGCTTGCCACAGCTTATCATGTCATTGTCATTTCCAACTGTGACTCTGTTCCCTTTTGAGTCCCACTAACATCCAGTCAAACTTAAAGGGCATCATTTTGTTGTTGTGGTGATGACCAACTTCCATAGCCATTGTAGAAGGTTGTAGAAGAGCCAGTGAGCAGTCCCTCTAGGTGCTGTCCCTCCCTATCCTTTGCTGTGTTGAAATTTTCATACACCAATAGCCCTCTCAGGGACAGCTGAGACAGGGTCTGGCTTCACAGCCCAGGCTAGCATCAAACTCATGGTAATCCTCCTGTCTCAGCGTGCAGAGTGCTGGGATCACAGGCCTGTGCCAGCATACCTGATGTATGTGTAGCCCTTTTCCATTTGGCTCTGGTAAAGAAAAAGATTTCGCCTATGTCTGGTGGCTGGGAACATTTTGTTTGGGTATTAAGTGCAGCTGTGAGAATTATTTTACACAGGTACAGTATAGGGTTTTTCTAAGGCTGGGCTGTATTTTTAGTGTTAAGAGCTAAGAAACTGTTTTTTGTATCTCAAAAGCAATCTGTACTAAGTCTAACACACTGGTGCATTGCTTCCATTAGTTAAAATTTATTGAGGCTCATCTGTGTGCTAAGGAAGGTTCCAGGTCAGGGGGTACAGCCATGAACGAAACGATTCTGCCTTTATGGACCTCAGAGTCCACTGGGCAAGATGAACAATGAGTAGCTGGAATTTGAGGTCATAAACAGAGCAGAGGAGGGCAATGGGCCTGGGGGTTTAGATGATACAGGGATTTTGTGCAGGTGTGTGTGGGGGTTCAAGAATGGCTGCCTTTGAGCTAAGTAAAGTCTGAGGGATGTGACAGTGAGCTCCAGGTGGTGGTGTCTGGAAAACATTCTGGAAGTAGGTGCAGAGGTCCTAAGGCAGGAGCTGGGTGTGATGGGAAGAGACAGGAAGTAAGGGTGGCTAGACATATCCTTTGTAAGGGTCTGGGATAACTCACCCTAGTTTTTAGTTTGGGGACCAAATTGTACTTTTTTTCTGTTTTTCCCTACAATGTTAAATTTACAGCTTATCCATCAGCAGATCCTGTTGACCCTTCCTATGGGCTGGCTCCTCTGATCTGATATCTCTGACCCAGGCCTCCACCTATTCCTGTGCTGTATTCCCTCATCCACCCATGTACCCCACTCCTCTTTCCCAGGTTCAAGGATGGCCCAGCCCCTGCCCAGGAGATAGCCTATCACTATGGTGAGTGGTGGCCTCACACGCACACTGGGGTACAGTAGCATCCTGGGCTGGGGAGTGGTTTGTGTGACGACTTCTTCACTCCAACTCAAGCCTATCATTGCCAGGAGATGACAAGGCTTGGGCCCGGCCCCCCAAACCTCCTACTTTTGGGGAATTCCTGTCGAAGCACAAAGCTGAGGTCAGCAGTCGTAGGCGAAGAAAGAGCAGCCGACCCCACCCCAAGGCAGCCCCCCGGGCCTACAGGTGGGTGCCCTCCCCCTTGTCCATGGCTGCCCTCATGGGGCTGTGCAAGTGTGTGGGTGCAGCTGTTGGTCTAGGCCCTGTCTCTTAGGTACTTGGCTTTGAGGTTGGAGTCTAGATCTTGATGTAACCCTGTTTTCTTCTCCCCCGGCCTCAATCTCTGCTTTTGCCGCCTGAGCCCTTCTGTCTGTTCTGTCATCTCACATGGGGATTCGTGTCTACAGTCCCCTGTCCTGGGCAGCATGCTAGGGCATTGGGTTGTAGGAGGCCCGTTGTTCCTGTTCACCCCACCCAACCCTCAACCCGGCTCCTCTGCCCACCAGTGACCATGATGACCGCTGGGAGGCAAAAGAGGAGGCAGTGTCCCCAACCTCCGAGGCCCCACAGCTGGAGACGACGCCAGTGCAGGTAGGGCAGGGTGGAGAGTGTGAGGAAACCCAGGATCACAGCCCTCTGCTGACCTGCCTTTGTGCCTTTGTGCCTCCAGCCTCCAGAGACCCCGGTCCCTGCCCACCAGCCTCCTGAGGATGACGGGGAGGAGGATGAAGAATGGGAGGACGTGAGCGAGGATGTGACGGAGGATGAGGAGGATGAGGAGGGGGACGTGGAAGAGGAAGAAGAAGGGGCCTTAGAACAGGAAGGAGAGCCAGCCCAAGAGCACCAAAGCCACGAGGCTGAGTCCACTGGCCACTCTGCCAGTGAACTGGCCAAAGAAGTGCCCTCCAGCCCCTTCTCACCGGCCGGCGGCCACCAGCCTGTGTCTGACTGGGGTGAGGAGATGGAGCTGAATTCTCCCGGCACAGCCCAGCCAGTGGGCACCCTCTCTCCGGGTGAGGCCTGGCCTTTTGGGAATGCATGATGCTGGCTGCCTGTGTGTGTGAACTTGGGGTGTGATGATGGGTCCTGGGGACCCAGTGCCCCACAGCCCTGGAGGCCGGGGAGGGCAACCTGTCCCATCTGTGCTGTTTGTTGTGCCTTGCATCCCTAGAATGCCTACTCCCAGAGTCTGCCCAGGTCATGCAGTCCTCCCTCAATAAAGAATTCATATCCTCAAGTGACAGTCCCCCAAGTGTGTCCTTGAGTTCCCTCTGTCCCCTGGGCTTTCTCCAGGGGTGGGGAGCTACTTAGAGGAGCAGGGGCTTGACTGGGCCTCCCCTTCCCCAGGAGGTGACCAGCCAGCTTCTGCCTCTCTGGAAAGTATGTTGAGCCTCCCAGGAACCCAGAAAGCAGAAGAGGAGGGGTCTGAGGCAACTCCAGGTGGGGGGTGCAGAGCCGTGGAGGTGCTTAGCCCACAGTCCCCTCCTGCTCAGGACTGTGGCCTAGGGCTTGGGCTTGGGCAGCCTGGATGGGGCCTGGGCTGGCTGGAGGGATTGTGGGGATGGGTCTGGGGAGAAGGTAGTGTGGTGGGTTAAGAGCAGGGCTGGATTGTAGGGCCTTGGCTATGGAACTAAGTTGGACTAAAGACGACTGGGCTCTGACGATCAAAAGAAGGGCTGGGAGTGTGGCTCAGTGGGAAGTATAGCATTGGGGTTGGGGCTGGGAGGGCATGGGCAGCATTAGAACTTGGGTGAAATCAAATGGAGTAGACAAGTGGAAATGTGCACCTGATGAAAATTTGGAGCAAGGGCTAAACCCCTCCTTTTTGCTGCAGAGTAGGAGCTGAGGAAAGGCTGCTTAGGGTGCAGGGTGGGGAGGGCACCAGCTCAGGGCATTTAACACCTTAAGTTGTTTGGTGGGTGGAGGCCACTGGGGCTGTGATCTGGCAACACCAGCGATTCCCCTACTGTGCAGATTGTGTTGAGGGTGTGTGTTGCTTTTGGGGGTCCCCTGAGGGTCAAAGGAATAGGTTCTAGGCCAGGGACCTGCCTGATGCTGGGACGGACTAGGGAACCAGAGGCCAGGTCAGACCAGGTTGGCAGGAGGGCTGTACTCCTCTGACTTGGCCTTTTCTCCGCAGAGGCGAGTCCCCAGGGCCAGGAGACAGCGGAGATCACCGACTTCCAGAGGGTGCGTTTCTGCAAGGTGGTGGCGGCCGCCCCGCCCCCGGGGGCCGCCCGCTGACCACAGCTGGACCGCGCGCGTGCACTAACCTTGGTGTCCCTCGCTCCGCCTCTGCCGCGCTGGGCCAGGTCCGCTGAGCGGGTCACCTGCACGCGGGAGGACCCGGGGTCCATCGGCGCCGAGGCCAGGGCACGAGGCTAAGCGTGGTGAGGACTCGTCCTGGCGCTACACCGGGGAACGCCGTGCCACCCGGGATGGCGAGACACCTCCAGACTAGCCCAGGATGGAGGCCACGGGACAGGGGCAGCCTCAGGCCGAAGCCTTGGCTCCAGGACCTACCCCTGGGGCTTGGCTCTCGAGGACTTGAGCCGGCTGTCTCCATTAAATGCAGTGCTTCTGCTAACCTCCGGGCCATGTTTCTGGCGGGGCAGGCTGGGCGCTATGCTTGGCGGGCTTTCCTGTGGCGGAAGAGGCGGGGTGAAAAGGGCTTCCCCTTCTCGTCCTGCTGATTTCTCTTCCCTCCCCTCTCGCAGGCCTCCCCGAGCTCCTGAAGATGCTGCTGGGAGGGGACTGAAGCTTCCCCGCCTTGATGGGGAGGGGGCGGCAGAATGGGAGTTTTCTGGATCTCCAGGCTGTGTTCTCTCCTCCCAGGAGCCCACTCGGGACCCCATGGCTCGAGGGAGAGAGAAACGTTGAGGGTGGTGGAGTTGCTGGGGAAGGGGCGTTGCCAGGGCGCAGGGTGGAGCTGGGCCCTCAGCATGAGGCTGGATTTAGAACACTGGGACTCTGGGAAGCAGGTGACATAGGGGCAGGGGCAGGATGCTTGAGAGGGTCCAGGTAGAGGTGAGCAGAGGGGTGGGGCGTGGCTAGGGCTACGCCTCAAGGCCCGCTGTGGCTCCCCTTGCCAGTATTGGGCAGGATCACCGCTGGGGGTGTGGTCAGAAAGCAGTGCCAAGGGCTAGGTGGAGTGGAAGAGCTGGAAGGGAAAGGGCAAGGTTCGAAGGCTGGAGCTGACTGACTCGTAGGAAGGGGAGTGAGGGCTGAGACTTAGTGGGGTCTAAAGCGTGACGCAAGGTTGAATCTAGAAAGGCGGTGGGAAGGAGCCAGGGCTAGGTTCCTGTAGAAGTCCGAGGCTGGGGGTGGGCCTGGTTTAGGCCAGGGGAGAAAGATTGGGGGGCGGAGCTAAATTCGGGGGCGGGGGCTAGGACACCTTAGGTTGATTGCGGTTGGCTTGAGACGGAGGGGGAGGAGGAGGGCGCCCGGCGGGGGCGTAGTCGGCGGGAGGTGGGGCCTGTACGGATCTCGCTGAGCGGCGGAGTGTCTGCAGCGATGCGGGGGACGAGCTGCGTTGGCGGCGAGAGCCCTGGCGGCTCTGGACTGAGCGAGGGCCCTCGGGCCCGCTGGCTCCGCCTAGCCCCGGTCTGCGCCTACTTTCTCTGCGTCTCGCTAGCCGCCGTGCTGCTTGCTGTGTACTATGGTCTCATCTGGGTCCCCACGCGGCCCCCTGCAGGGCCCGCCGGTCAGTCGCCCAGCCCGTTTCCTGCGCCGTGTGCCGCCCACCAGGGCGCACCGCCTGCTCCGGCCGCCCCCTCCTGTCTGCTGGGATCCCCGGACGGGCTGCGGCCCCCGCTTGATCTGCCGCGCAGCCGCCGCCACAGCGAATCCGGCCGCCGCCAGCGCCGCCTGTCGCCGGGAGAAACGCTCGAGGCCTCGGGGGGCTGAGGACCTGGGTAACCCCCTCTCCGCACCGGATGGCCCGTGTCACGCAGCTGTCCCCATGGCTGGATCGCTCTTGGTGACATCGCACTAGAGGAGGGGCCAGGTTCTTGGCCCAACACCAAGTGTAGCAGCTCCTCAGAGGTCAGGCCAGGCTGATGCTGATCTCTACCTCCGCACCCCTTCTGCTCCATAGGATGCTGAGCAGAGCCACCCCGTCTTCTCATGTCCCCTGTCCTTTTGCAATAAACTCCAGCACAGCTGCCGCCGCCCTGTCATGGTGTCTTACCTGGCTGTCTCGGCCTGGTCTGCTGAAGCCCTCCTGGAGCCCGACCTCAGTCTCTCTTGCTTTCCCTTCCCCGGAGGCCCTGTGCTTAGCCTCGCCTACCTTTGGGCTGGATGGGGAGAAGAGGTTTATTGGCCAGGGTCCCTGAAGGTCAGACAGTGTGAAGGGCTTCCCGTGCTCAGTGTGCTTGTGGCAGAGGACAAGTCCCTTTCTGAGAGAAGCCTACAGTCTGCCCTTGATAGGGACAAAACCGAGAATTGCTGTCAGGGCAGTAAAATGGTAGAGGTGAAATCACCCTGCAAGCTCAGAATACTGTCGAGGGACAGGCCTCTGTTTTCTCCCCAGGGGCAGAGAAGACAGAGCTAAGTTGTCACAGCACTACGCTGCCTTTACCGAGGAGGACAGCCGGTCTGGCCTAAGACTGGAGACTCCTGGCTTCCAGCAAAGCAGTCCGAATAGTTGAGGGTCCTGCTGCTCCCTCAAGACTGAGGCCTGGCTATGTGCAGGGCTGTAGATGGCCAGGTGCCCCTTTGGGCTGGAGACTTTCTCAGGCTCCTGAAGCTGATGTGACTGGGGGTGTCAGCTCCACTCTGTCCCAAGACCTCCACAGAGGGTGACAGGTCAGAAGGGGAATGTGGGTAGGCAGTGCCCTTTCCGGTTAGCAAAGGAGGTGGCTGGGCCATTTAGAAGCAGGTTGCCCAGATTGCAGTCCCAGTTCCGGCTTTGATCACCTGTGTGACTTGCACTTCTCCAACCTGTGGAGTGGACACCACGCTAGTCTGTACAGATGCTCTGTGAAGATTAAACTGGCCTGCAGCCCTCAGAGCACTGTCACCAGTTCTTGCTACCTGCTCCCTCCTTTCGGGCTTGCAGATGCGCAGCTCGGATCCTGGGTGATGTGTAGTCAGCACAAAGCCTTGGGTGCCAGCAAGCAGTAAGTGGCTGGCGAGGGGACCTCTTCATTCTGTGTCTGCCCCTCCTAGTTTCCACCTCTTTTCTCCCAGCCTCACATCTCAGTCTTTTCTCTCTCTCCGTAGTCCTTTCACCTCCTTTTCTCTCTCTGCTCTCTCTGTTCACCCCAGCTCTGTTACTCTTTTTTTTGCGGGGGGGGGGGGGAGTTATGACAAAGTCTCAATATGTAGCCCAGGCTGGCCTCAAAATCTTGGTGAGACTCCTGCCCCAGCCTCCTGAATGCTGGGATTACAGGCATGTGTGACAATCCCCAGCTCTGTGTCTTTCTTACCCACCTCTCTCCTCCATTTTGCCCTGACTGCTCCTTCCAATTTCCTTTCTTTATTTCCTGCCCTTACCTTTTTTAGCCTCCCTGTCCTTTCATCTCTTCCCTTTCTCTCCGCCTTTTTTTTTTTTTTTTTTTTTTTTTGTCTTTTTCATTTTTATCGGTACCAGGGATCAAACTCACAACTGCCTGCTTGCAAGGCAGGCACTTATGCTGCTGAGCTAAATCCCCAGTCCCTCTCCTCTTTCGCTCCTCTTTTTTTCAGTTCTTCCTTCTCTTTAATTGGTCACTTTTTTTTGAACATCTACTCTGTGACATCGGTTCTGTAGCACCTTTCTGGAGAGAAGTACTGGGCTGCAGATTGAACGCAAAGCCTGAGCCCCAGTCCTTCCTCCCCATATTTTTTCCCCCTTCTATTTGATACAACGTTTTGGTGAGCTGCTCAGATTGGGCTTGAATTTATGATTCTCTTGCCTCAGTCTCACAGAGTGTGCAGTTTAGTCATGGGCCACCATGTGCAACTTACCAGGTGATTTTTAACTTTTTTTGAGACAGGGTCTCACTGTTCAGGCTGGCCTTGCACTCACAGCCATCCTCCTGTCTGAGCCTCTGGAATAATGAGATTGCAGGTATGCACTACCATGCTGGACTGAGATTTGTTTATTTTTGATACAAGGTTTCCCTATGTAGTTCAGGCTGGCCTTGAACTTATTATGTAGCCCAGGAGGATTTATATTAAACACTGGGGATATGTCACTGAATAAAACAGGTAAAACTTCTTTTCTTTTTTTTTTTTTTTTAATCTTTTTCCTTTTTATCGGTACTGGGGATTAAACTCACGATTGCCTGCTTGCAAGGCAAGCACTTATGCCGCTGAGCTAAATCCCCAGCCCCTAAACAGGTAAAACTTCTTGATGTCAGCCAGGCAAGGTGCTACCACCTATGATCCCAGCACTCAGGAGGCTGAAGCAGGAGAATGAGTATGAATTCAGGGCCAGCCTGGATTACACAGCGAGATCCTGTCTCAAAACACAAATTTTTGGGCTGGGAATTTAGCTCAGGGGCATAAGTGCTTGCCTGGCAAGTGCGAGGTCATGAGTTCAATCCCTGGCACCACAAAAAAAAAAAATTGTTCTTTTTTTTTTTTTTTTGGTACCAGGGGTCAAACTCACAACCTCATGCTTGCCAGGTAGGGGCTTATTCCACTAAGCTAAATCTCCAGCCCCCTTTTTTTGTTTTTTTAAGACAGTATCTTGCTTTGTAATTCAGGCTGACCTTGAACTCCCTGTATGGCCCAGGCTGACCTTGAACTCTCAACAATCCTGCCTCAGCCTCCCCAGGGCTAGAGTCACAGCAGATAGAACCACTCTCAGCCAAAACGTCCTGATTTCTTTTTTTTTTTTTTTTTTTTAAACGTCCTGATTTCATTAGAACTGACATTATTAATGGGAAAACATGAATATGGTCAACAGCCTACATATATATTCTGTCAGACAGTAAACACAAAGGAGAAAAGGCACAGCAGGGGGAGGTAGTCTTCAGGCCAAGGGAACAGGCAGAACTAAGGCCCGAGGCTGGTGGGACTAGACACAGACTGGCTGACAGCAAAGGGAGAGGATCAGTGACCACCCAGGGCAGGTGGTTCAGGGCCCTGAGAGCTCTGGGTGTTCTTGGACGTTTCCTTGAAATGAGGTGGCAGCCATGAAAGACTGAGCTGAGAGGGGCCTGAGCTGATGCAGGTGCCCAGCAGCACCTCGGCTGGCCACATAGTGCTGACAGTAGAACCCCAGAGTAGAAGGCTATTGTGGGTCAAGTGAGGTCGGTTGTGGCTGCACCAGGGAGTCTGGGTCACTAGGGCTTGACCTCCCTGAGTTTCCCACACATGGAGTTGGGCACCGAGGGCCTTCAGTGCCTGACTTGTCTCTTAGCAGCAGTTTCTGGGCTGTCCGTGCCCCTAGCTGAGCGGCTCTGGGTTCTCTGTGGCTGCTTCTCGGTGGTGCCCACACTCTGTCCGAGGGGCCTTGATATTTTTGCCCTGTGCCTATCACATGTTTGCCTGCTGTGAACATTCGCACACAGGTTGTTGCTGGAAGGTCTGCTTTGAGTCTTTAGGCGTAGAGACCTCAGAGGGGATTGCTGCACCCAGGGCTGATCCATGTTTATTTGAGAGACCCAAGATGTCTGTACTTTGAGGATGTAGGTGAGGAAGAACGTCAAGCTGCAAGCCAAGGATGGGTCTGGGCACTCAGGATGGGGCTCCCCTGGCTGAGACCCTCCCCTGAGGACCACTGGGGCCCAGGGGTCCCCCCATCTCTTCCCTCCTCCATGTGGCTGCACTGTCCCCCAGGTCGGTCTGCTCTCTTTCTCCTCCAGTAATGCTGCCCTGGTGGGGACCTCCCACTGGCTTCTGCCTGGCACAGTCCAGAGGAACCTAAGATTCATTGCGATTCTCATGGGATGGATGTTTGCAGAGCCAGGGATTGAGCCCAGGGCCTTGGCACTGAGCTATATCCCCAGCCATTTTTATTTTTATTTGGAGGCAGGGTCTTGCCAAGTTGCTAAACTGCCCAGGCTGGGCTCCATTTACAATCCTTTTGCCTCAGCCTTCTGAAGTGCTGGGGTTACAGGTATGTGCCACCATGTTTTTTCATGGCATTTAGGCTGTCAACAGGATTCTGAACCCCCCCTGTAACTTTGTCATGGTCTCATCTACAAGAGAAGAGTTGAGCTTGGGCACATGGTTGGGGACAACTAGGACTCTGAAGATGGGGATTCCCCTGGGTGGGGTGGGACCACTGTTGGGAACATGGGGTGCCCAGGGCAGCCCAAGTCCTGTGCTCATGGTAAGGATGGATGACCCAGGGTGGGCAGGGTTGGGATGGGGAGTTCAGTGGGCTAAGAAAGCCACGAGGGTCCAGGCAGTTTCTCTCTTAAGAGGAGAGCTGCTGGTGCCCTTCCCTGGCCACCAAGGGACCTGGAGTTTTCAGTTCTTTCTGTGCACTGAGGTGGTCTCGCCCCCAGGCCACTTGTTCCCAGATTCACTGAGCCTCTGATGAGAAATCCAGGCACTTGTGGCTTCACTCTCAAGGCCAAGCCCTTACTGGTGAACCACGGGGCTCTTATTCAATCTGATTGGGTGAGCACAACTCACATGGGAAGCCCCCCACCATGTCTGTGTCAGGAAGATTGTCAGGGGTTCCTTCATCAGTATTTTTGTTCCTGAACCACTCAAGAAAAAGGCAGGATTATTGTGAAGTTTTAGACCAATCAAGGTCCTGTATTTGGCCTCAATTGTGGGAACTATTTATATGCAGTACTCGAAATTGAACCCAGGGCTTTTGCATTGAGCTGAAATTTTTTTCCATCTTTTTGAGGCAGGATTTCATTATATGGTTCAGGCTAACTTTGTTTTTGTTTTTGGTACTGGGTAACAAACTCACAACTTTGAACCTCGTGCTTGCTAGGAAGACATTATGCCGCTGAGCTAAATCCCTGGCCCGGTTCAGGCTGACTTTGGACTCACTGTGTAGCCTAGGCTGGGTTTGAACTCACGGTGACCCTCCTGCCTCAGCCTCCCAAGTGCTGGGATTACTCCCCAGCCATTTTTATTTTTATTTTTTTATTTTGAGACATGCTATTTCTATGTCACTAAATTGCCCACATCTTGAACTCTGTGTAACCCAGGCTGGCCTCAATTTGCAGTGATCCTCCTGCCTAAGCTGATATCACAAGTGGGCAGCTGA